GGGGGCGGGGCTTCAGGCGGGGGCGCCCGGGGGGGCCGGGGAGGTGGCCGGGCCGGAGCCCCCGTCTGCGGTGGCCCCCAGCCTGCCGGGCCCAGGAAAGAGAGAGGAGCATCTTTGCTACTAGCTGTTGCTGCTACCTGCCTCTGCCCCACGACACCCCCCTGCCTTTTGAGATTAAGGAAACAAAAAAAAAAAAAAAAAAAAAGGCAAAAAAGTTTTTAAAAAGGAAAAAAAAAAATTATAAACCAGTGAATGTAAAATGCCAGAGCAGGCCCAGCCTGGCACGGGTGTGGGCCTGCGGCCAGCCAGACTCAAGCGGGCGATACCAAAGTCCGCCCCCACAGGGTGGTCCACTCAGGAGACCCCCCACCATTGTGGCCGTGGAGTCCTGTGACTGTCTTTTTGCGTCCTTCCAAGGGGGGTCCCCCAGCCTCTTCCAGGGTCTTCCCCTGGAAGTGGGCGGCTGCGGGGAAGGTGGGGGACGGGGTTCTTTGCACATTCAGTCCCTGGGGCCGTGGCAGGAGCGGTCATCTCACAGGCGGTGACACTGAGGCAGGGGCCTCAGGGTGCCCCCTCCCTGGACGGGGACAGTCCAGGCAGCCAGAATGGTTGGAGGCGAGACAGACAGAATGAAAGGAAAAACAGAAGAAAAAAAAAATATTAAAAATCAACAAAAAAAAGCAAAAATCCTATTTTTTGAGAAAGAAAGATATTTATATTTGCAGTTTTATTTTAAAAAGTTATTTAAGTTGAAGTAGACTTCCCAGAGGTGAGGGGGTGGGTGGCTGGCGCAGGACGGGTCAGGGGCCTGGAGGCTGGGGGGTGCCCCAGGAGCTACAACCTCAGAGTTAAGACTAGCTCGCATTAAATACATAGATTTACAATGGGGGGGTGGGGGGACTGGGGCCAGGAGGTGGAGGGGGCTGGGGAGACCCCCATTCCTCGCCGGGGCTGCCTGGAGGCTATGGACGAGGGTCTGATGCCCAGGTCCCGCGCCCCACCCCACCCCAGGCCCAGAATCGAGGTGCCTTGGACTTTGGAGGGGCCAGGCCTGGTTGAAGGGGGCGGGGCGGCGCCCTCAGGGTACAAAGCACAGATAGACATTCCAGAGACTGTATTTGAGAGTCTTTATAAAGTGTGGGAGATTTAAAACAAAACAACAACAAAAAAAACTGATAAAAATGCACTTTTGGGGAGTGGGGAGGGAGAAGCTTTAAAAGTAATAAAAAAACACAAAAACACAAAACATGAAAAAACAAAAAAATTCATTTTTCTTGTACATAAAAAAAAACCACTAAACGCAGCCTGTTACGACCGCTGCCGCCTCAGTCGCCTCATTTGATGTTCTCTGTGTTTTGTTCGGGGGAGGCTGGGGAGCGGGCATGGGGGGTTTGGGGGGGTCCCCTTTTTCCCCTTTTGGCCCTGAAGAGACTGGGTGGGTTGAGCGCCTCGTCCACACCACCCCTTTGGGCCCAGGGTGACTGGATCCTGGGTCTCAAGGAGAGAAGCCCCAGGTCCCCGACCCTTCCTGCTCTTCCTGTCCGGCCTCAGAAGCCCGGCCCATCTCTCTGGGGTCCCTCTGTTGCATGGTGGGGAGGCTGGGTGTGGACAGTGACCCAGAGCACCGGAGTGAGGGGTGAGTGTCCGAGGAGTGCCCAGGCCCAGAGGCCCCTCTTGCGAGGAAGGTGACCCACAGCCCCTGGCGCGGGCAGGCAGCTGGCACAGGATAAGGCCAGAGGAGCAGCAGGGAGAACCGGCCGGGCGGGTTGTCAGCAGAATCCAGGGCTGGGCCCTGGGCACCGCTGACTCCAGGCTTCCCCGAGGCCCCAGGCGGGGTAGCCTCACCTGGGGGCCACCCGACTCTGCTAGAAGACCCCAGGGTGCTGCCCCATGCCAGGCCCCAGGGCCAGGAGCCAGGATCTGGAGCTGGAAGCCTCAGCTAGCTGCAGCTCTTACCTCTGGGTAGGGTCTTTGAGGGAGACCCTCCTCCTACCTCCTGTCCTCCAACCAGACTCGGCCCATGTCCAAGGAATCTGTCCAGGCCAGTAAGGGTGCGGATGGGGCTGGCCCCAAGGGATGGATGAGGCACTCATGGAAGCAGATGGTACAGTAAGGCACCGGTGGCCGCACTGAGCCGGGCACTCGGTCCACTCAGACCCCCAGCTCCTCCTCTGTGGATTGAGCTCTTCCTGGTAGTCACAGGAAGTCAACAAAGCCTGGCCCAGCCCTTGCCAGGAAACACCACAGAGGCCACAGCACGAAGCCTGAGGGCCTCCGGGTCCTTGTGTGGACCCCATGGCAAAGCCCCATACCTGTGCGAGGCCGCCCGTGAACCTGCTGCAGCCAGGATTCGTGCCCAAGTCCCCAACACGGGCTGGGGCAGGGTGGGGGGTCAGTGGTTCTACAGCCATGTCCTGAGCCCCCTGTGCCCTGGACCCTCAGGGCACACTGAGGCCTCTGCTCAGAGGTCCCACAGCATCGGGAAGCTGAAGGAGCCGCAGCCTCAGGACCACAAGCCAGGGTTAGGTGCTTCCTTTTCTGGCCTGGCATGGTGGCTCATGCCTGTAATCCCAGCACTTTGGGAGGCTGAGGAGGGAGGATCGCTGGAGCCCAGGAGTTCGAAACCAGCCAGAAAAACAAGGTGAAACCACATCTATGCAAAAAATACAAAAATTAGCTGGGTGTGGTGGTGCACACCTGTGGTCCCAGCTACTCTGGAGGCTGAGGCGGAAGTATTGCTTGAGCCCAGGAGGTCGAGGCTGCAGTGAGCTATGATTGCACTGCTGCACTCCAGCCTGGGCGACAGAGTGAGACCCTTTCTCAAAAATAAAAATAAATGTAATTCACACACCACATAAATTCCCTTCAAAGCCGGGTGTGGTGGCTCATGCCTGTAATCCCAGCATTTTGGGAGGCCAAGGCAGATGGATCACGAGGTCAGGAGATTGAGACCATCCTGGCCAACATGGTGAAACACCATCTCTAGTAAAAATACAAAAATTAGCCAGGCGTGGTGGCGCATGCCTGTAGTCTCAGGAAGCTGTGGCAGGAGAATCACTTGAACCTGGGAGGTGAAGGTTGCAGTGAGCAGAGATGGTGCCATTGCACTCCAGCCTGGGCAACAGAGCAAGACTGCGTGTCAAAAATAAATAAATAAAAGGCTGGGCGCAGTGGCTTACACCTGTAATCCCAACACTTTGGGAGGCCAAGGCGAGCAGATCACGAGGTCAGGAGATTGAGCGCATCCTGGCTAACACAGTGAAACCCTGTCTCTACTAAAAGTACAAAAAATTAGGCCGGGTGCAGTGGCTCAAGCCTGTAGTCCCAGCACTTTGGGAGGCTGAGGCGGGTGGATCACGAGGTCAGGAGATCGAGACCATCCTGGCTAACATGGTGAAACCCCGTCTCTACTAAAAAATACGAAAAATTAGCCGGGCATGGTGACGGGTGCCTGTAGTCCCAGCTACTAGGGAGGCTGAGGCAGGAGCATGGCGTGAACCCGGGAGGCGGAGCTTGCAGTGAGCCGAGATTCCACCACTGCCCTCCAGCCTGGGAGACAGAGTGAGACTCTGTCTCGAAAAAAAAAAAAAAAAAAAAAAAATTTCCTTCAAAAAATTATTCACCCATCACCACTAATTCCAGAACATTCTATCCAGCCCAAAGGATGCCCCATATCCATTTGTGATCACTCTCCATCCCCTTCCTTACCTTCCAGCACCCGTGAATCCCCTTCCTGTCTCTGTGGATTGGCCTGTCCTGGACATTTCATAGGAACAGGACCACATGCCACGTGGCCTTTGGTGTCTCTCACTAAGCGTGGCGTCCTCAGGGTTCGTCTGTGCTGGGGCCTGTGTCAGAGCCTCGCTCCTTTCCACGGCTGTCATACCGCGGTGTGGATGGCCACGCTGCGCTGATTCACTCCCTGGGTGGACAAGGGTCGTGGCCACATTTGGCTGCTGTGCATATCCACGAACACGTTTCACTGTGGACGGATGTGTTCACTTACCTCGGGGCCATGTCTGGGGCTGGCGTTGCAGGTCCCATGCTAACTCCACGTTTAGCCTTTTGAACAACTGTCCAGCTGTTTCCAAGGGGCTGCACCGTGCTGTCCTCCCCAGCTGTGTGGACTGCAGCTTCCCTGACCCTTGCTAGCTGTCCTGGTGGGGGTGACAGGTATCTCACACCCCTAACATCTCATGTGCTCCATGGTTGTCAGTGTATCTTTTATTTTTTGAGATGGAGTCTCGCTCTGTCACCCAGGCTAGAGTGCAGTGGTGTGATCTTGGCTCACTGCAAGCTCCACCTCCTGGGTTCAAGCAATTTTCCTGCCTCAGTCTCCCCAGTAGCTGAAACTACACCACGCCCAGCTTTTTGTATTTTTTTTTACTAGAGATGGGGTTTCACTGTGTTAGCCAGGATGGTCTCAATCTCCTGACCTCAGGTGATCCGCCCGCCCTGGTCTCCCAAAGTGCTGGGATTACAGGCATGAGCCACCGCGCCTGGCCCCTTTTTTTTTTTTTTCTTCTGACAAAAGCAAAACGTTTGTGTATCTTCTTGGCCACCCAGAGAGACACGGACGATCCTGGGACCTGAACTCCGTGTATGGCCCAAGCCCCTTCACCCAGTCTCCCAGCTTGGTGGACACCGGGCCCAGGCAGCACAGTATACAGTAAAACTGGCCTGATTCAGGTCGGGCATGGTAGCTCATGCCTGTAATCCTAGCACTTTGGGAGGCTGAGGAAGGAGGATCACTTGAGGCCCAGAGTTCAAGACCAGCCTGGGCAACATAGCGAGTGACACCCCCATGTCTATTAAAAATAAATAAATAATAAAAATCTGCCTCATTTGACCACGAGCAGCACCTTTTGAATTCTGAAACTTGGCAATAACCAGGACAGAGAGATGTGGGTGGGGCTGTTTCTGTCCTTCCCACAACCCCGCCCCCCACTACAGGGTACACACTGAGAGAGACACAGGGCACACAAAAGCGGACGCCTGGGTGGCTTCACCTCGACCTTTTTTATTTGCATTTTTAAAAAACAATTAAATTAGAATACAAATATTAGAAAACAGCGGCCGTCAGCTGCCCGTGCGGGCGGGAGGGGCCGAGCTGCGCAGCGGGCTGCGGGCTCTGCAGCGAGACTGAACTGCCCTCGGCCAGATGCACGTCCCTTTCTTTAGAAACCTGAAATGATATTGCTTCCTGACTAGGAGTTCTGTTTATACAAAGGAAAATTCTGGGCTGGGGAGGATAAAAGCAAAACAGACGGCAGGCAGCAGGTCTGGAGAACCAGGTAAGGCCGGTGCCCTGCCTGTGCCCTGGTCTCCTGGGGGGTGAGGGGGGTGCCCAGCTGCGGGATCCTGGAGGCAGAGCCCCGGAAGCGCCCCCAGTTGTTGGACCCTGAGGCCAAGGGCACGGGTGGGGCCTGCGAGGGGCCGGGAACCCCTGGGGACTGGAGGGAGGCCCCTGGCCTGGTCCTGCTGGAAAAGCAAGGCTCCCGGGGGACAGGGTGCCAGCCTCGTACCCGTCGGAAAACCAAGAGCAAAAAGGAGAGGAATCAACCCAAACAAGAGCTGGGGTGGCCGGAGTCCCTGCTGCCCCTTGGGAAGCGACCGCCCCCCTGTGCCCCAAGGACTGGGGTGTGGTGGTGGCGGCAGCTGGGGACATCTGTGGACATCTGTGCTGTTCCGTAGGGAAGTTAACCTGAATTGGAGTTACCGAGGTAGCTGGCTAGAAAACTGAGACCCCCCCACGCCACACGGTGCCGCACCCTGGGCCCCCGCCTTCCCCGGGGGTTCCTGGCCACACGCCGGGTCTTCAAAATACCAAATTATTGCACTTTCAAAAAATACAACACATCTGTGGCTAAACCCTCCCCAGCCGCCCACCATCCCCCAATCCTGCCCGCCCATCCCCCCACCCCACTGCCCCTCCCTGCCCCAACCCACTCCATGGCTTCTTGGCTAAAACGCTCGTTGCTCGGCGCATGAGGGTCTCTGGGTGAGGATGTGTTTGCAGAGAAAAAGCAAAGGAAGAGACAAACGTCAAAGTGGTCGCCAGAGAGGGGCTGTGCCCCGCCCGCCGCCCGGGGCCCTGCGCGCCGGCTGGAATGGTCATGGGAAGAGGGTGGCGGGCAGCTGGGCATCCGGAGGGGAGGGCGCGGGGCAGCGTCCTGGTCCCTCCCGCCCACTACCCCTTCCCGGCTCGGACTCCAGCCGGGGAGGCGGCTGTGTGGGTGGCCGGCCTTGTTTTTAAGAGTTTGACTTTTTTGTTTCATTTTTCTTTTTTGTATCTTTTTTTGTCATTTTACTTTTTTTTTAATCCCCCATAGGAGAGTCCAGAGGTACAGGTGCCAGGAGCCAGGCAAAGGGGTGGAAAAACAAAAGGAACGACAATAAAAAGAACAAGAAAGGTCACTCCTCCCTCTGTGCCTGAGGCTGGCCCGCGCCCCTCTGCGTGGTGAGCACCAGGAAAGTCGAGTGTGCGGCCGGGGTCAGCAGGCCGGCACCAGGCCCTTCTGGAAGGGGCAGCGGCGCTTGGGCCGAGGGCCCTCTTCGTCGTCCTCCTCCTCCTCCTCTTCCTCTTCCTCCTCATCCTCTGAGGACGATGAGCTGTCCAGCGTGAGGTCCACCACGTCGGCGCCCGGCTTTCCATTCTCCACGCCACTCACCGGGCCGCCGCCACCCGTGCTGCCCAGGGCACCGCTGCCGTTGACGCTGGGTGCAGGCAGGAGCCCATTGGCATCCGAGGGGCCTGCGGGTGACAGGGACAGGGTGCAGGTACTTAGGATGCAACCACTGATAAATGGGGAAACTGAGGCGGTCCTGGCTGGGGACTGCGCGGTTGGTGGTGGCGAGGCACTCACCCAGCACGAGGATGGCGCCCTGCGGGCTGCAGCTGCGCTCCTTTTCGGCGCGGATTGGGCACCACGAACCGTCCACCAGGTACTCGATCTCGTCGGCGTCCTCACACTCGCTCAGGATCTTCGAGAGGAGCCTGGGGCGAGGCGGACAGCTGACTACGCGGCTGGGGGTGCCCCGCCCCCCCAACTCCCCAGCCCTCCCTTCCTTCTGGATGCCGCCAGGCACTTCCCACTTCTCTCTGCAACAGCAGCTTCACCGCCCCGACTACAGGGGTCCAGGGGCCCTGAATTCCCTCCCCTGGCCTCAGGCTCCTGCAGGTGCTGAGCCCCAGGCAGGTCATGCGCACGGCACCGCCAGGGGTGGCGGGGCAAAATGCACAAAACCAGGCCCCCAACTACCCACAAGAGCAGGGGATGTGGGGGCTGCAGGGGTCCTGCCCTCCCTGCCCCTCTGGGCACCTCCAGGTGTGCATGCATGTTTGTGTGGGGATGTGACAGTGTATCTGTGCATGTGTGCACACGTGTGCATGGATGCATGTGTACAAGTGCGCACGTGAGTGTATGTGTGCATCCATGTGTGGATCCATGTCGGCATACGTGAATGTGGACTGTATGGATGTGTTTGTATGTGTGACGATGTGGACCGTATGGATGTATGTGTGATGGTGTGGACCGTATAGGTGTGTGTGTGATGGCGTAGACTGTATGGATGTGTGTATGTGTGACAGTATTCCCTGTATAAATGTGTGTGTGATGGTGTGGACTGTATGGATGTGTTTGTGTGTATGTGATGGTGTGGACTGTATGGATGTGTGTGTATATGATGGTGTGGACTCTATCGATGTATGTGTGACGGTGTGGACTGTATAGGTGTGTGCATGTGTGATGTGAACCGTATGGATTGTGTATGTGTGACGGTGTGGACCGTATGGATGTGTGGGGGTGTGTGTGACAGTGTGGACTGTAGGGATGTGGGTATGTGTGATGGTGTGGACTGTATGGATGGGTGTGTGTGTGATGGTGTGGACCGTATGGATGTGTGGGTGTGGACTATGGATGTGTGGGGGTGTGTGTGACGGTGTGGACTGTATAGGTGTGTATGTGATGGTGTGGACCGTATGGATGTGTGGCTGTGGACTATGGATGTGTGGGGAGTGTGTGACGGTGTGGACTGTGAGGATGTGGGTATGTGGGTGTGGGTTACGGTGTGGACCGTATGGGTGTGGGGGTGTGTGAGGCAGTGTGGACCACATCCATGTGTGGGCATCTTGGTGTGCGGCCACATCTGCTTTCACACTGCTGTGTGCCCCCAGATCAGACGGCCCGCCCAGTGAGCTTATGTGGGTGTGGGTTACGGTGTGGACCGTATGGGTGTGGGGGTGTGTGAGGCAGTGTGGACCACATCCATGTGTGGGCATGCGGGTGTGCGGCCCACATCTGCTTTCACACTGTACTGTGTGCCCCCCAGATCAGGAAACGGCCCGCAGTGAAGGCTGCTCAAAGCCCCTGCAGAGGCTGTGAGGGCAGCACTGGAAGCAGAGCGTGGGCTCCCCATGCCCATCCCAGCCACAGCCTCTCCAGAGCGCCCCTGCTGTGTACGGCCTTCTTCCTTGGAGGTCCTACCAGTCCCATTTCACAAACCAGAGAGAGGCTCAGGAAGGGGTGAGTTCCCTGAGGCCACAGGGCCAATTGGAGGCAGGCACTGGTTCTGCTCCCCAACCCCGTCCTGGCCAAAGGGCCTCGGTCTCCCCACCCGCAGGATGGGAAGGGCGCAGTGGCTGGGGGGTGTCTGGGGAAAGGCCCCATGGCTCATGGGTCCATGCAGGGCCCAGGCTGGCCTGTTACTGTCAAGGCTACAGCTGCTCCCAGGCACCTGCAGTGGCGTCTTTCTCATCACACAGGAGAGCCCTCGTCCCGCTCTGGGCGACATTTTCTCTTTTTGTTTTTGAGACGGAGTCTCGCTCTGTCACCCAGGCTTGAGTGCAGTGGAGAGATCTCGGCTCACTGCAAGCTCCGCCTCCCGGGTTCATGCCATTCTCCTGCCTCAGCCTCCCGAGGAGCTGGGACTACAGGCGCCTGCCACCGTGCCCGGTTAATTTTTTGTATTTTTAGTAGAGACGGGGTTTCACTGTGTTCTTGATCTCCTGACCTCATGATCCACCCGCCTCGGCCTCCCAAAGTGCTGGGATTACAGGCGTGAGCCGCCATACCCGGCCTTCTGGGCGACACTTTCTGAGGCTGATGGGACTCCTCTCACCCAGGCCAGCCCCCCGCCCGCCCCACCAAGGTCTCTGTGAGGCAATGCTCAGAGCCCCCTGTGCCGGGGGGCCACCCCAGGCATAGCACAGCTCTGCCTGCTCACTGCCCTGCTTGCAAAACTCCTTCTCACCCTCCGAAGTCCCACCCCACAGCTTCTCTTCCTCCTCTCCACGACAGACACAGCAGTTTATGTCTGGCTCTGCTCCTCTATCTGCTCCCCCTGCCAAGAACAAGGCTCCCTGTAGGCAGGATCTGGAACAGGACTCTTTTGGGGACCCTGGGGTCACCCAGCTCAGAGCCAGGGACAGAGAGACGACAGGGCTCATGGAACAAAGTATGAATCAAGGACCTCTCCTCCGGGAAGACTCCCTGGCTACACTGAGTCCCATGGGCTGCTGAGGCCAAGGCCTGTGTGGGATACAGCTGCCTGCCCCAGCCCTGGTGGCCCTGGAGCTGTAAGAGCTGCCGCCACTCCAAGCCCAAGCCCCACTCCGGGCCTGTGGGGGAAGGCAGGCACCCGGCTGCACAGCTGTCAAGCTGGGAACAGAGCAGCCATTCAGGCAGTCCACGTGCCCGGCCCCAGGGTCTCCTCTCTCTACCCGAAGCCGGGATGCAAGGGGGTGGCCACCCAGTCCTCCACAGAGGGGTCCCAGACTCAGGCCAGGTTCAAGTCCCAGTCTGGCCCCCTGTGAGCTGAGGGGGGCTCCAGCTGCTGGCTGCCTCCTCTGAGCCTGTTTCCTCGTCTGTAAAATGGGGAAGCTTGCCGGGCGCGGTGGCTCAAGCCTGTAATCCCAGCACTTTGGGAGGCCGAGACGGGCGGATCACGAGGTCAGGAGATCGAGACCATCCTGGCTAACATGGTGAAACCCTGTCTCTACTAAAAAATACAAAAAACTAGCCGGGCGTGGTGGCGGCGCCTGTAGTCCCAGCTACTCGGTAGGCTGAGGCAGGAGAATGGCGTAAACCCGGGAGGCGGAGCTTGCAGTGAGCTGAGATCCGGCCACTGCACTCCAGCCTGGGTGACAGAGCCAGACTCCGTCTCAAAAAAAAAATAAATAAATAAAATAAAATAAAATGGGGAAGCTCACAGCTCTGCCTCCCAGGATGGGGACAACTGCACAAACCGGGGGTCCACTTAGGGACCAAATCTATGACCCCAGAGGCAGGCCAGCCCTGCCTTCACCTGCACGGTCCACTGAGGCCGTGCACCCGAGGGCTGGGGGCCCAGCTCACCCTCCCATGCATGGCCTGCTCCCGCCTGTGAAGGCACCAGCTCGTGCCACTGTGGCCTCACGCCCTGCCAGAGGCTCTGGGGATGAGAGGTGGGCGTGGCCGGCGCCAGGCAGGAGCCGCATCAGGTGCCACAGACAACAGGGCTCAGTTTCTGGAAACTTAAGCCCTGGGCAGAGCCTCCCTCCAGGGAGAAAGGTCTTGTCCTCCTGTCCCCTGTGGCCTGGGGAATGCCTGGCCACAGCTGTGCCACCCAGGAAGGGAAGGGTATGGCGTGGCCAGAGCGCTCCAGGAGGCACCACCTCCTTTGCCTCTCTGTGAGGAGCCACCCCCACGGCTGCACGTCCTGGGGCGAACGCCGTGTGAAAGCAGAGTCCGGCTTGGTTTTTTGTGACAAAAACCACACTCCTGGAGCTCAAGGTCACACCTGCCTGAGGTCATGTGGGAGCGGGATGGACCAGAGCCCGCCTTCTGCAGCCTGAGCTACGTGCCTGTCGCCTGCACAGCAAAGGCTCTGACAAGTTCCGCGAGGAAGAAACGGGCTCTTCTCACAGCCCGGAGCTTCCAAAGCTCCGGGACCATGTGTCCCCACTGCTGTGTCTTGCTGGGGCAGCACGGGGTCTGCAGGAAGTGGGGTGCCACTGAGATCTCCATGGCCGTCCGGCTCCAGCCGCCCTCCCTGGGGCCCCAGGCTCACCCATCGATGATGAGCTGGTCGTAGGGGGCTGGCTTGTCGCACACGGGGCACATCCAGGTGGGCTTCTTCTCATTCATCTGCAGGTAGAAGACGGCGTCGAAGCACTGCAGGTGGGCGCAGGTCTCTGCCCGGCAGGGCACAGAGAGCCGCATCTTCACCAGCTGCGGGGGAGGGGCTGCATGAGCATGGCACCCGTCTGCTGTGCCCGCCCACCTGGCACCCCTCACCCCCAGCTCCATCCTGTGGCTTGTTCCAATCGCTCGTGCCTCAGGAACACGGCGGGGACCAAGACCAGCCTTGCCCCTGCAGGCTCACGGTCCAGCCAAGCCGCCCTGGGCCCAGGGCCACCAGGGAGGAAGCACAGCCGCAGGAGAGGCCCCAAGGAGGGGGCTGCCCCCGACTCACCGGGCAGATGAGGGACACCCGCACACCAGTGGTGGCGATCTCGCTGTCGGGATCGAGGCGCAACTTCTCCTTGACTGTGGGGAGGGAACGGAGGATGTCGTCAGAGAGGTGGGCACAGCGGGGCATGGGGCTGGGATTCGGGTTCTCTCCAGCACCCATGACCACCTCCAAGAACAGGTGCCCCAAAAACGAGTCTTGAGCCTCGCTGTGTGGCTCAGGGCCACGAGGGACCAGAGGAAGTCAGGCGGCGACCATTAGATTTGACCACAACCTGGGCACACCACAGACCCAGCTGAAGCCCCCACACGAAGGTGGCCTATGTGGCCTCCCCCACCCCGCGTGGGCTGTGACCCACGGGACTTTTCTGGAAAGTTTCATGCAACACAGCCACCGACGGGGTCACTGCTGTGACTTAATTCTGTCACCGACACACCATCGCCAAGGCCACAGTGGGGAATGAGGCAGGGATTCCTTTGGGAGATGGACCCCGGGGCCTCCCGGCTGTGAGCCAGGAAGCGGCTGCCGCCCAGCCCTGGACACCACGCCGAGGCAGCCTGCACACCCAAGAGTGTAGCTGCTTCTTTAAAAGAAAAGACGGTGCCCGCCAGCAAGCTGCACAGAACACGGGGCAACACGTGAAACATGAAGGCTTGGGGCAGGCACCGCCCTCCCCTCCACAGGCAGCAGGCCCACAGCCAGAAGGAACTCACGCGGGGACCCCGGGTGCCCTCCTGACACTACTGGGATGCGGCTAAACTCCATCCTCGGCTAGCTCAGGACAGCCCCCAGCCCTGGGCCCTGCAGGGCAGACCACCCTGGCCCACAGTCCCCAGGGCCTCCCCATCCACCACCCGGCCCTCAGCTGCCTAGTGGACCAGTTCTGCTTCCTCTAGGAAGCCACCTGCCCAACCGACTTGGGGTTCAGAGTGATGGTGCCAGCCTGTCTCCCCCCTTCCCCCAGCTGTCCTGACGTTTCTCTGTCTGGAAGTGCTCCTGCCACCCCTTATCGGCCTGAACCACCACTTATCTCTGGCCGCTTGGAAGCCACTTCCTCCTTCCTGACCCCCACCCAGCCCCCCGGCCCGTGTGTGCAGCAGTGGGCTCTTCCTTCTCCCGTAGGGACGCAGTGGCAGCCACAAGCTGGCCAGCACGGTCTGGCACCCTTGCACGCTCCCAGCAGCTCTCCTGCTTGAGCCAAGGCTGCCCTAGTCGCTCACTCCTTGGCTGAGTTTCCACCCTGGGATCCAGCTCTGGCTACCCGGTGCCCACGTGGACCCTCACGCCTGGCAAAGGGGCTCTGGGCAGCTAGGAGGGGATGCAGGTGCCCATCTGATTTTAAAGCAAGCTCTCCCTTCTCCATGTACAGAAAGACGTGTGCAGCAGGAAGGGTTCAAGTGAGGCAAACGTGAGGACTTCCTAGGTGCAACAACAAAAAAATCCAGTGACAAAGAGGCTGAGGCTGGGGCCAGCTGTGGAAGGCGGCAGGAGACCCCTTCAGAGAGGAAATCTGACCCCGCAGCCCCCAGCACTGCAGGGCTCTGGTCACTGAGGAGTTAAGGCTGGCCCCCACCCCATGGGCCTAGAAGCCTGCCCGGCCCCAGCCTCCTCCCTCAAGTTGGCCATTGTCCCCAAAGGCAAGGAAGGTTGGGGGGGGGGGTTGAAGAAAGGGCCCTTTGAGGGAAGAGGGAGGCAGGGCGGGGAAACCCAGGTCACAGAACCCTAACTTTGCCACTCTGTGCCTCAGTGTCCCCACTGGTCCCACGGGGACATCGCCAGCTCCTCCCTCCCCGAGCCTGGAGGAGGCTGGCCGGGGATGCGGGTCTCTGCGGAGGGCACCCTCACCCCTGCACATCCCGCTCTGCAGAGGGGGTGCCGCCGGCTATCCTTCCTGACTTGGGGGACCGGAGTGTGCAGGAAGCTTCAACACGATGGGGCTCGCAGGCCCCTGGCAGTGCCAGCACTGCTCCAGGCTTCTGGACACCCAGGCTAGTAGGTGCCCTTTGGTGGTCAGGAACAGGGGCCAGAGGCCCGGGCCTGGCTGTGCCAGGAGGGCAGTGCTCATGGGGAACTCTCAGGCCTGGGCACAGGAGCCCTGGGCAGCTAGGAGGGGCAGCTGGGAGACCCTCTGGCCCCCATTCTGCCAAGGGTGGTGCCCAGATTCCACCTGAAAACAGCGAGCATTCTGGAAGGAGGCACGAGCAAACCCGGCTGGCCCAGAACCACCCTCTTCTCAGTCTAGCAGGTGGTTCCAGTCCTCGCCCACCTGCCCAACTCCCACTCCCAGCTCCAAAGGACTCCAGGTTAGGCCTCGCCTCTCCACAGAACAGGCCTGTGGAGCCCACTGAGGCCTGAGCCCCAAGCATGTGGCGTCCAGAGAGAGGCCCAGGTGCCCTCAAGCTGGCTCAGATCTATTCTCCTGAAGACAGTGGCCACCAGAGAAAGCCAGCGACTTTCCGAGGCCACACAGCCACCAAGCAGGGCTAACTGTACGCTGCCTTTGCGCTGCGCGGCTGCACGGGGGGGACTGATTCACCCTCCCATCTTGGCAGGCTTTTTTTTTTTTTTTTTTTTTTTTTTTTTTTTTTTTTTTTTTTTTTTTTTTTTTTTTTTTTTGAGACGGAGTCTCGCTCTGTCCCCCATGCTGGAGTGCAGTGGCCGGATCTCAGCTCACTGCAAGCTCCGCCTCCTGGGCTTACGCCATTCTCCTTCCTCAGTCAGCCTTCCTGGCAGCTGGGACTACAGGCGCCCACCACTCCGCCTAGCTAGTTTTTTTTTGTATTTTTAGTAGAGACAGGGTTTCACCGTGTTAGCCAGGATGGTGGTCTCGATCTCCTGATCTCGCAATCCTGCCTCGGCCTCCCAAAGTGCTGGGATTACAGGCGTGAGCCACCGCTACCCGGGCCTTTTTTTTTTTTTTTTTTTTTTTTTTTTTTGAGACGGGGTCTCACTCTCCCAGGCTGGAGTGCAGTGGCATGATCTCAGCTCACTGCAAGCTCCGCCTCCCGGGTTCACGCCATTCTCCTGCCTCAGCCTCCCGAGTAGCTGGGACTACAGGCGCCTGCCACCACGCCCGGCTAATTTTCTTGTATTTTTAGTAGAGACGGGGTTTCACTGTGTTAGCCAGGATGGTCTCGATCTCCTGACCTCGTGATCCGCCCGCCTCGGCCTCCCAAAGTGCTGGGATGACAGGCGTGAGCCACCGCGCCTGGCCGGTAAGCTTTCTTTTAAAATTGCTCTGTGTGTCACTTAAAAAATATTGTTTTCATTGTTACAAGTACAAAAGAGAACAGGTGCGAAAGAGGCCAAGACTGTCATCCAGCACTCTGGGAGGTTGAGGCAGGTGCACCGCTTGAACCCAGGAGTTTAAGACCAGCCTAGGCAACACAGCAAGAACCTGTCTCTACGAAACATTAAAAAATCAGTTGGGGCCGGGTGCTGTGGCTCCCAGCCTCTGTGCTGCCCCAGAACAAGGAACGAGGCCCCAGCTCTTCTGCTGCTTGGACCCCTGTAGGCTGGGGCGCCTGGGGCCAGCAACACGGGGTGTGACCCCACAGGCTTCTGCACAGCAGCTCCCACTGCCAAGTGCCCCCTCTGCCATCCATATCCTCCAGAGACCTCCTCAGCCACAGCGGGGAGGCCATGGACCCCCAGAGTGACAGGAAGCCCCTGACCCATCTCCTTCGGGTGCAGGCCCCCCACCCTCGCCCAGTACAGGCAAGGTTTCCAGGGGGGACTCGGTCCACCCCTCGGCCGAGGTGGCCCTGAGCTGCTCACCCAGTGCCTTGCACAGCTCCGGGTGCTTCACCCCAATGGTCTTCAGCCTCTGCAGCAGCTCTGACGAGGTCAACTGCCGAACCAGGTACAGGGCCACGGAGTAGCTCTGGGGACAGAGGGGTGGGGTCAGGGCTGGCAGGGCGGGGCTGGGGTGGGGGGACGGGGGGGCGCCTGGGGTCAGGGCTGGCAGGGCGGGGCTGGGGCAGGGGGGCAGGGTGGGCACCCGGGCATGCACTCACCTTGCCATAGTTCCCCCAGGTGACGGTGATGCGGTTGGTGGCCGAGGACAGGTACATGAGGTGGGTGAGGTTGATGGGGCGGCACGGCCTCTTGGGTTCCACCCCAGGCTTATTGGAGGGGTAGTAGCCCTGCAAGCAGACGGGCCGCTCAGCCTCGAGCCAAGAATGGCTGGAAAATCCAACGGCCCCCACCTCCCCCCACGCCCCCCACCCTCCCTCCACGCCCCCCAAACCCGTGTAACAGACGCGGGGGGGGCCATGCTCACCGGGACTGAGCAGTAGCTGTGGTTGACCTTCACAGCGATGTTGGGCGGGTACTGGTCCTCCTGAGGGCAGCTGGTGTCTGAATAACAGATTCTGCAACGACAACAGGGACCATGGGGCGGCAGGAGTGGGCGCACAGGAGGGGCTAGGCCGCTGTGGGGAACAATGGGGACCATGAGGGGCACAGGAGGGGCTGGGCCGCTGCGGGGGTAACAAGTGGGAGTCAAGTGGTGGTGATGGGGGCACTGGAGAAGGTGACATGGGGGGTATCGGGGCCCCTGGGTGTGGCCTGAGCAGGTGGTGGGATAGTGGTATATCCCCAGACAGGGACAGATGGCAGGCTGGGGGGAGCTGGGCTCTGCCTTTGGCAGGGGAGACTGAGAAGAGCCTGGACCAGGACTGGGGGGCGGGGGGGGGGCAGGTGGCCAGGGGTCCAGCCCTGGGGTCGTGGGCACACCTGGGCATACCTCAGGACGACCTGCACGGCTTTAACTCCTGGCTGCAGTTCTCTGTAGGTGTGGAGCAAACCAGAGAAAAGGAAAGGAGAGCTGAGTGAGGAAGGCGCAACCTCAGCCTGCCCCACAAGGTGGAGACCGCCACCCCACAAGGCTCTCTCCCCTAGAGCTGCGAAACTGAGGCCCAGGACTCTTTTGTGCAGGCCGGGTGAGACAGGAGTGGCTGTGGGGTCAGGAGAGGGGCTGGCCTCCCTGGAAAATGCAAGAGAATCGACCGCAAAACCCTGAACCAGAGAGGGCAGCCAGGTGCCTCTCACTGCGAGGAAACACAGCTAAAACGTGCATGCTGGAATGTAGCAGCCAGCTCACAACGTCAAGAAAACACCCAGTCTGCGAGGCCGAGGCCGGCGGAGCTCTTGAGCCCAGGAATTTGAGACCAGCCTGGGCAACATGGTGAAACTGTCTCTACAAAAAATACAAAAAATTATCCGGGCGTGGTGGTGCACACCTGTGGTCCCGGCTGCTTGGAGGCTGAGGCAGGAGGATCGTCTGAACCCGTGGAGGCAGAGGCTGCAGTGAGCTATGATTGCACCACTGCACGCCAGCCTGCGTAACAAAGAGAAACACTCTCCAAATAAAAAAAAACAAAAAAAAAGTAACACCTGAGAATAAACTTTAATAAGAAACATCCCCAGGAGAAGAGGAAAAAGTCTCTCTACCCAACGACGCATCCGTGGATGTTCACAGCAGAACTGACCACGACAGCCACAAAGTAGCGGCAGCCTGAGTGTCCTTCCACAGACCGAAGGACCAACACACACGGGACGTGACCCAGCCACGGAAAGGAGCCAGGCTGACCCAGGCCTCAGCACAGGTGCACCGTGAGGACGTACCGCCCAGTGAGAGATGCCAGACACAAAAGGACACACAGGGCAGGTGGCTCATGCCAGTAACCCCAACACTTTGGGGGGCGGAGGTGGGTGGGTCACGGGTTCCAGACCAACCTGGGCAACATGGTGAAACCTCGTCTTTACTAAAAATATAAAGATCAGCTGAGTGCGGTGGTACGTGCCTGTAATCCTAGCTACTCAGGAGTCTGAGGCAAGAGAATCACTTGAACCTGGGAGGTGGAGGTTGCAGTGAGCTGGGATCGCGACACTGCACTCCAGCCTGGACAACAGAGTGAGATTCCGTCTCAAATAATCATCATTTTAAAAAGCCGCAGTGTGTGATTCCACTTCTATGAAATGTCCAGGACGGGCCCATTTCCAGAGACAGGAGGGGACGCGTGGGGGCAGCGGATGAAGGGTGGTGGCTGATGGGGATGGACACAATTGCTCCGAGACTAGGCAGTGGTGGGAGCTGCACTACCTATTGATCCACGAGAACCCACTCGATGACACACCTAAAAACTGCGTACTCTATGGTACGCAAATCATATCTCAACATAAGAAACAGAAATGTGGGCCGGGCACGGTGGTTCATGCCTGTAACCAGCACTTTGGGAGGCAGAGGCGGGCGGATCACGAGGTCAAGAGATCGAGATCATCCTGGCCAACATGGTAAAACCCTGTCTCTACTAAAAACACAAAAATTAGCCAGGCGTAGTGGCGCATGCCTGTAGTCCCAGCTACTCGCGAGGCTGAGTCAGGAGAAGAATATCGCTTGAACCCAGGAGGCGGAGCTTGCAGTGAGCCGAGATCGCGCCACTGCACTCCAGCCTGGCGAAAGAGCAACTCCGTCTCAAAAAATGGAAAAAAAAAGAAAAGGAAATGTCCAGAAGCTTTCTGAGGAGAAACCCAAACTGATTTTTTTATACTGTGTGGCTGGCTCGAGCACCCTGCAGCAGGGACGCAGTGCAGGTGGAGCTGTGCGGACCCAGGTTCACAGACAAGGAAGAGGAGAAAGGTGACGTCACCACCTTGGGTCACCCAGGCAGAGAGACCTCCGTGGCCAAGCCTGGCTCAGCTGGTTCTGAACCCTTACTAGGTGTGAGGGCCAGGCTGGGAGGCCCCGGGAACCTGGCCCCACAGCAAGTAGGGGCGGTGGGTCTGAAGCAGCTGGGCACGAGAAGCTGGGCATCAAATGGGGGCGCCCAGCCCAGCTCTGCCACGGACTCAGGGGTGACCTGGGCAAAAGGCCTTCCCTGTCCTGAGGGTCCAGCACCCACCATGAGGCTGCCCCGGCAGGAATCTGTCTCAGCTAGAGGCAGGACAGCCTTAGAGAGACTGAGGGAGGAGCAGAGCACAGGGCAGCCACACTGGCCCCTCACCTGCTAGAGTTCAACCGTCCTCATCTGAGGGCGGGGACACCACGCAGTGTCTGGGGACATCCGAGGGAACGATCCCACCTGACTATCCACGATGCGGAGGGGTAAACCCTGTGTTCGTTATCTGGGAGAAAACCTGACTTTGGCCGGGCGCGGTGGTTCACGCCTGTAATCCCAGCACTCCGGGAGGCTGAGGTGGGTGAATCACCTGAGTCAGGAGTTCGAGACCAGCCTGACCAACATGGCAAAACCCCATTTCTACTAAAAATACAAGAATAGCTGGGCGTGGTAGCAGGCGCCTGTAATCCCAGCTACCTGGGAGGTTGAGGCAGGAGAATCGCTTGAATACGGGAGGTGGAAGTTGCAGGAAGCCAAGATCGTGCCACTGCACTCCAGCCTGGGCAACAAGAGTGAAACTCAGTCTCAAAAACAAACAAACAAAACACCACACCTAACTTTCTGCTCATGCTGGACACCAGAATAAATTCCGGATAAGGCGGGCGGTGTAAACCAGGGACCCCAGCTCCCGGGATTCACCTTCTCCCTCCCCCTCCAACTCAGGGTGTGGATTTCAATGTGTGCGGCCTTCTGGGACCTCAGCAGGGCAGAGGATTATGGGACGCAGAGTGTCTTGGGGGTACGTGGAATCCAATAACCCAGGGAGGTCTCACCCGCGTTATCCTGCCCCAGGGGACACTGGACAACATCTGGGGACATCTGTGGCTGTCACAACATGGGCGTGTTCTCGGCATGGAGTGGGTGGAGGCGAAGAATGCTACTCAGCACCCTACAGCACCCAGGATGGTCCCACATGCAGAGGGCAAGACCGTGTTAAAAGGGGACAGTCAGTCTGCCTCTCTCTAACAGGCTGCAGGGTACAGGCAGTGGGCACACAGCCCAGCAGGTGAGACTCAGGACGGGGTTTTCTGGAAGGCAGCGAACCCGGCCACTGCCTTGCAGCACGGCTCTGGACTGAGCCCGAGCGAGGCCTGCGGTGGATGTGGCTGCCGGTTCTTCCAGTGAGCCCAGGAGAAAGTGGGCGGGCGGCAGGGCACCGGGCTGGGGAAGGGGCCACGCACCTGGAGTTCCGGATCAACTCCACCTGTCTTGGCGTCAACGCGAAGATGCACGGGCTCTCCTGAAGCTTCTCGTTGTTCTGTGGGACTGAAGACAAACACAGGGTCATGGGCATGTCTGGTCCCTGGCAGGTCCCCCGAGCCCAGGCGCTTTTCCGGGCCTTCGCCTCTTCAGATCAGGAAACAGGAAATGGGAAGCTGGCTGGACAGATATGTGGGGAAGAGGTGGGGGCCGCCCAGGGAGGAGGATGAGGGAGGAGAATGAGGGAGGACTCCCGCCCATCCCCTTCTCGGGGCCGCTCACTACGGCCTGTGTCCTGTTGAGGGCCACTCAGAAAGCCGGTGCCCTTTGCAGCCTGTGGGATGCAGGCGTCTATTTAGGAAGACTGAAAAATGCCCAGCTGCCTGGGGGGAGAGCTGGACCCAGCCAGGCCTGCAGGACACTGCCATCCCTCCTCCCTCCTGAGTACAAACTGGACCCTGCCCTTGCTCTCCTCATGCCTGCAAGGTGGCCAGGTCACATGGACAGAGGTGGCGCCGGAGGTACTGACGAGAGGAAGGCCATGGCGCTCACAAGCCTGGGCCCTACCCTATTACTTACAACTGGACTGACAAGCAGAGGCGCAGTCAGAAAACACTGTTCTTTTTGTTTGTTTTGTTTTTGAGATGGAGTCTTACCCTGTCCCCCAGGCTGGGGTGCAATGGCATGATCTCGGCTCACTGCAACCTCCATCTCCCAGGTTCAAGCAATTCTCCTGCCTTAGCCTCCTGAACAGTCACCACGCCTGGCTAATTATTGTATTTTTAGTAGAAATGGGATTTCACCATGTTGGCCAGGCTCGTTTCAAACTCGTGACTTCAGGTGACCTGCCCACCTCAACCTCTCAAAATGCTGGGATTACAGACGTGAGCCATTGCGCTCAGCCAGCCCCATTTTTTTTTTTTTTTTTTTTTTTTTGAGACTTTGTTTCACTCTTGTCACCCAGGCTGGAGTGCAATGGCATCATCTCGGCTCACCGCAACCTCCACCTCGCAGGTTCAAGCGATCCTCCTGCCTCAACCTCCCAAAGCAGCTGGGATTACAGGTATGAGCCACCACGCCCAGCTAATTTTGTATTTTTAGCAGAGACAGGGTTTCTCCATGTTGGTCAGGCTGGTCTTGAACTCCCAACCTCAGGTGATCCGCCCGCCTCGGTCTCCCAAAGTGCTGGGATTACAGGCATGAGCAACTGCACCTGGCTGCCCCATCTCTTAAAAAGAAAAACAGCATGGGGCGGCGTCTCAAAAAAAAAAAAAAATTAGCCAGGCGTGGTTCAGGCACCTGTAATCCCAGCTACTTGGGAGGCTGAGGCAGGAGAACTGCTTGAAGCTGGGAGGTGGAGGTTGCAGTGAGTGGAGATCACACCACTGCCTGGGCGACAGAGCGAGACTGTTTCCAAAAAAACCCCCAAAACACAAAAACAAAAACAAACGAACGAAACTCTAGCTGAACAACAAAAAGACAGAGAGAACACAAACTACCCATATCAGAAACGAAAGAGAAACACAGTACAGACCCTACAGCTTTTTGGTCCAACAGAGGAAGAAAAGGTGCACCGCACCTTCATGCCAATGAATCTGACAACTCAGTGACAAATTCTTCCAAAGATGCACATTACCAAAACGGGTACTAAAAGATACAGGAAGTTTGAAAAGTGTGTTACCTGTTAAGGAATTTGGATCCATAATTAAAACCTTTTCTGAAAACTGCAGGTCCAGGTCGGGCGCGGTGGCTCACCCCTGTAATCCCAGCACTTTGGGGACTGAGGTGGGCGGATCGCTTGAGCCCAGGAGTTTGAGGCCAGCCTGGGCAACATAGTGAGACCCTGTCTCTACAAAAAATTTTTAAATTAGCCAGGTGTGGAGGCATGCACCACCTGTAGTCCCAGCTACCTTGGAGGCTGAGGCAGGAGGATCGCTTGAGCCCAGGAGGTGGAGGCTGCAGTGAGCCGTGATCGCACCACTGCACTCCAGCCTGGGCAACAGAACCAGACCCCATCTCAAAAAAAAAAAAAAAAAGAAAAGAAAAGAAAAAGAAAACTACAGGTCCATATTGGTGAATTCTATAAAACATTTTGGAAAGAAACCACATAAACTGTACGTAAACGCTTTCAAACAACAGAGAAGGAAAAAATACTAGTTACTTTACAAGGCCAGCATAACTCTGATACCAAAACCTCACAACATGACGTCAAGGAAGGAAAATTACCAATAAATGCCCCTCACGAACACAGATGTAAAATCCTCCACAAAATATCAGCCAGTATTTCAGGCCCCTGCGATTTGTGTGAGAAATCTAAGACCGGTATGAATCCTCTCTACACACCCAGGTCAGGCGCGGTGGCTCATGCCTGGAATCCCAGCACTGTGGAGGCCAAGGCGGGTGGATCACTTGAGGTCAGGGGTTCGAGACCAGCCTGGACAATATGGTAACCCCATCTCTACTAAAAATACAAAAATTAACCAGGCATGGTGACACGCGCCTGTAATCCCAGCTACTCGGGACGCTAAGGAGAATCGCTTAAACCCAGGAGGCGGAGGTTGCAGTGAACCGAGACTGGGTCACTGTACTCCAGCCTGGGTGACAGAGTGAGGCTCCGTATCAATAAAATAAAATGAGGTAAAATAAAGTAAAATACCTCTCTACACATCCACTAGCATGGCTAAAATGAAAAGACTGGCAACTCTACGAGGTGGCGAGGGTGTAGAGCAAACTCTCTGCTGGTGGGGTTTTAAGACAGTACAATCACTTCGGGAAACTGCCCTTATAAAGGTAAGCACAGACCTACCCCAGCACCTGGAATCCCACTCCGAAGCATTTTCCTCAGTAAATGAAAACATGCATTCAGAGACTTGCAGGCTGGGTACGGCGGTTCATGCCTGGAATCCCAGCACTTCAGGAGGCCAAGGTAGGAGGATCGCTTTAGCACAGTAGTTGGAGACCAGCCTGGGTAACACAGTGAGACCTTGTCTCTAAAAAGCCATTTTTAAATGAGCCTGAGCCAGGTGTGCTGGTGTGCAGCTGTCATCCCTGCGACGCAGGAGACTGAGGCGAGAGGATTGCTTGGGCTCAGAAGTTTGAGACCAGCCTGGGCAACACAGCAAGACTACGTCTACGTTAAAAAATATATTTAGACGTAAATCAAAAACGCTGAGCGGCTTGCATGCCCTGCCATCGCTTGTGTAATGAAAACGGAGGGAAGGAATCTGAGTAAATGCCTATCTGTCTATAAGTGTAAAAAAATATCAAAGGAGCGTAGGGGAGAATCTGGCCACAATGGCAGCCTTGGAGTGGCCAGGAGACAACATGGCGGGCAAGCCCTTTAGAACAAGGACAGCGAACTGCCCCCGGTAAAAGCTGGAGTTCATCAGCTTCGCAGGCCACACTCTCTGTGTTATGAGCAGGAGACTGCCCAGTCCTGGAAAGGTGCTCCCAGGACGGCAGCGCACACAGCAGTGTGGCCTGCACCTATGACAGGGCCTTTACAAGAACCGGAGCCATGGGATCAGACCTCAACTGCCAGCACCGTCTTGGAACTTTCTCAATTAAAACCCATGAGAAGAGGTAACGATGTAAAAAGTACATCTGCTTTAGGGTCAGAAGCTCAGACTGCCGGCTGGGCGTGGTGGCTCATGGGTGGCTCACGGGAAGCCCAGCTACTCGGGAAGCTAAGGCAGAATGGCTTGAACCCAGGAGGCGTAGCCTGCAGTGAGCCGAACTTGTACCACTGCACTCCAGCCTGGGCCACAGAGCCAGACTCTGTCTCAGAAAAAAAAAAAAAAGAACAGACTGCCTGGGCTCGGATCCCAGCCCTGCCAGGGCCTCTGTGGCCTGAGCCTGCATGTCCGGCCCATGCTGACCCGTTTCTTCGGGAACCGGTGCCGGGTCTGTGGCTGGCCCTCAGGAAGAGGGGGCTACCGCAGCAGTGGCATTGCCACAAGGGCCACAGTGCCACAGCCTCTTCCCGTTTATGTGCTGAGGGCACAGCCAGTCTCTGCAGAGGTGATGGGCTGTGGATGCCCAGCTGGGCCCCTGAGGAAGGCCGCCTAATTGGGAGGGTGGGGCACACAGGCCACCTGTAGACACACCCAGATCTGTCCCAAGCGCTGGGGAGCAATGGTTCAGGGCAGGAGCCGACACCTGAGCTGGGCCTTGAGCTTCCAGGCTGGGTCAGAGGTGAAAACATGGATACTCCACCCCTCAGTGTCTCAGGAGGAATTAGGGGAGGAAGGTGGGTCCCCAGTAGGCAGCAAGCCCGTGCCTGGGGCAGAAAGGGCCCAGTCACTGAAGACCAAAACTTTGGGGTCCCTGCCCTGGGAGGGTTCCCTGCCCTGGGAGGCTCCCTCTGGGGGAGGCCAGGCTGTGCTTCTCTGCTGGGGGCCTGGGAGATGCCCTGTGCTCTGACGGCTCTGCTGTGCCACTCGCCCCAGGCCGCTCACGGATCCCCCCAAACACCTGGCCCCCCTCTGCTGGGGAAGGGGCTGTGGCTGGCCCTCAGGAAGAGGAGCTACCGCAAACCTTCTCTTCTGCCCTCAGGGTCAGCTGTTTGGGGCCAGAAACCCAGATGGCATCCACGAAGCCCCTGTCTCTGCCGTCCTACAAACATCCACTCCCCCAGCCGGTCCTGTCAGTTCTGCTTTCAAATGCCACCTGATGCGGACACCTGCCCCCAGCTCTGCTGGTCTCAGCAGCCAGAGCCTGCTCCCTGGGCTGGCTCTGCAGGAGACCCCTGGCCCTCAGCACCCCTGTTCAGGGCCACACCCACCCCGGCACACACACGGCCACCACCCTGGCCTCCTGCTTGGGCCCTACCAGCCATGCTGCCTCAGGGACTCTGCACACGCCATTCCCTTTTCTGGAACCTTCCTCTCCCGACCAGCCTCATGGCCCTATATTTGTCTTCACACAAATGTAACCAGAAAGAAAGGCTTCCCTGAGCACCTCATTTAAAAACTGCACCCCCTCGCCCCGCTTTTCTCCAAACCTTCTCCCTCCAAGGATCGACTCAGTTTCCCTGTATCACTCTGCTGCTCCCTCTTGTTGGGCCA